CCATAGTCCAAGGGGTCACAAAGCTTCGGATACAACTTAACAATAACAACAACAATGTATTTGTTGCTCCCCCCCAACAAAATATAAACTCTTTCAGGACAGGAAGAGTTTTTCTTTGTCTCTATCCCTCAGTGCCTAGACCAGTGTCTGGCACATAGCAGCTGCTTGATAAAGACTTGTTGATTGATTGATTCCCATTCTGACATTCTGCATTCATATGATCATTACTCCTCTGGCTCAGAACCTATTACCTATTTAAGCAAAGCATTTCCAGAGCATTTCACTTGAGATTTAGAGCTGAAAGGGACGTCAGAGATCATCTAATCCAGCACCCTCATTTTAAAGCTGGGGAGACTGAGGCCTACAGAGGAAAGGCCACATAAAGACAATAAATTTAAAAGTCCAAATTTGAGCCCAGCTCCTCTACTTTTTTTCCTTGCTTTTTAAAAATGTATTTATTTATCAGCTCTTCTTTCTTATCTAGTGCCTTTTCCATCCTACTAAGTGGCAGGATGGGGGAGTGGGGGTGGAAGTGAGTAAGTAGAGGTCACTCAAGCCATTTTACTTCATGGTTTTGTCCCTTACCCCTCCCATAGCCAGTGAGTCAGTGAATCAGTCAGTGTTCATAAAAGTGATTTTAAATTTTGGCAAAGTCAATTCCTTTCCCGGAAAGGCATCCAAAATGATTACTTACAATGCTATGAGATAACGAACCCAAGAGCAACTGGGTTCTGGGTTGTATTTTTTAAATTTTGGAGAAAGAGACAGAGAAAGTGAGAAAGACAGAAAGTAAGAAAGACAGAGAGAAAGGAAGAGAGAAAAAGAAAGTGAGAGAGAGAAAGTGAGAAAGAAAAAGAAAGTGAGAAGGAAAGAAAGTGAGAAGGAAAGAGAGAAAAGAAGGAAAAGGGGAAAGAAAAAGGAAAGAAAGAAAGAAAGAAAGAAAGAAGAAAGAAAGAAAGAAAGAAAGAAAGAAAGAAAGAAAGAAAGAAAGAAAGAGAAAGAAAGAAAGAAAGAAAGAAAGAAAGAAAGAAAGAAAGAAAGAAAGAAAGAAAGAAAGAAAGAAAGAAAGAAAGAAAGAAAGAAAGAAAGAAAGAAAGAAAGAAAGAAAGAAAGAAAACAGCCACTTGGAAGAAATGTTATCAAGTTCTCAGCATCTGCAATTTACAAGGCAGTCCCCCAGTTTCCGCGGCCTCCCAGGCCCCGCCCCCTGCTTGGGCTGTCGAGCCCTCATTGGTGGGGGGCGGCATTTCCAAGCCGGTGCCTGCGCCCGAGGAAAGGTTGCCTCGGACACGCATCCCTGTGTGAATGCATGACGTCCCAGGCTGGCGCCAGGCTGTCTGGAGCTGAGAGTTAGATCAACACAGCTGTGGGACAGGGACACACAGCTGGGCAAAGGAGCGGATTCCTCAACAAAAAATAGGATTGTGAGAAAAGTTCTGAAACAAAAACAGCGCAGACAAAGGCCTTAATGACATCCTTTCATAAAAATAAAAAATGCAAGAGGGAAAAAGCCTGGTAAAAGGAGAACTGGGAACAGAAAGTTCAGAGAAGGGGGTCGGATGCTGTGGGCCTGCAGCAAAAGGAGCCGCAGATGGCATTTGCATCCTTCAGCTGTTTGTGAAAACCTCTAGCTAGGCCCCAGCTCCAGTTCCCCAGCCCTCATTTAACCTGACTCTATTCTGGGTAGTGGAAGGACTGGGAGATCTGGGTTCAAGCTGAGGCTTTCCTTTTAACTGGCTGAGACCTTGGGCAGCTCATTCCCCACTTTCAGGGACTCAAGTATCTTCATCTGTAAAACAAAGGCCTCGGAATTAATGTTCCTTCAAGCTCTAATATTCTGCAGTTCTAACACTAGATATTCTAATGTCCCTTGCTTCTAGCGTTCTTTGTTCTACAGTCCCTTTGAGGCTACCTAGTCCCAGGCAGCTGGCACTCTCCAAGATTCTTCTGATACCTCTCAGGCCGGTAGTGTTCCTTCTCCCTCCTCCAATCCATGTCTCTTCTGACACCAACTTCAGAGTCCCATTCCACCAGACTTGGGTATCGGTCTTATCTCTTGTAAGCAACTTTAGCTGAAGGTTGAGTTCTCATCTTTGTACTCCTCACCGTTAAGAGAAGAGGATAAAGGGATTTTGAACTGAATTCAATTTGAGCCCTGATGATACCAAGTATAGAAAGAGGCTTTGGGAAAGTATAAAGTGGTAAACAGATGTGAGATGGAATTGTGATCATCCTCATTCTCACCATTCATTTCATTAAGCATTTATTAAACCCTAGGATGTAGTAGGCACCGAGTTGGGGAGGGGATGGGGGAAATAACAGACATCATCATTATAAAAAGGTGATTATGGTTTTAATTGAGAACATTATTGGTCTTTAAAGTTCTTCTTAAAATAGAGGGCCCTCTACCTTAGAAGGATTAGGTCCTCTACAGCCTTCAGACTTTAGAACATGAAATAGTGGAAGTGGAACAGAGAATGTCAGAGCTGGAAGGAACTTACTAATCATTAGAGCTGAAAAGGACAAGAGTTGATTGAGAATGAAATCTAGAGCTGATGATTTTATGATGAAATCTAAGCAGGGCTGGATGGAATAAATGCAACTTTAATAAATCTTTCATGGAGGTAGATAACAATAATTAACTAAATGCCATGGTTTTGCCACCAAATGGGGCTTAAGTCTGACCTGAGCTCCCACAAAGACCTTTTCCTAATGGGCAAAAAATGAAGGCCTCATCCCTTAAAACACAGAATAGAAGGATAAGGAAATCTAATGGCTGATAACTTTTTGTTTTATTTATCTCTGGAAGCATGAACAGGGATTGAAAGAGATTTATCTATGACCAGATTTCCAAAGAGGTTTGTATCATGGGACTGGGTCCATTTTGAAGGCTAGTGCTCACAAGAAACCAGAATCTGATCTGGCTCTAGGTGCTGACTTTTTCTGCCACTTGGAATCCTGGGATCCTAGCTCTTGATTTGGAAAAGATCTCAGAGGCCATCTAATCCAATCCCTTCATTGTACAGATGAGAAAACTGAGGCTACCAAGTCTAATCTCCCAAAGGGATAATGTTCCCTAGGCCTAGAATGCCCTCATTTAATTTCATTCTATTTTACTAAGTTCAATAAAAATATATATATATATATATATATATTAAGCACCTACTGTGTGTCATTAGAATACAAATACAAAAATCCCACAACAGACTTACTCCTTACATAGCTTTTTCTTTTTTTTAGGGAGGTGGGGGAGATGACATGTATACAGATACATAAAGACAAAGGTTATTCAAGTAATAATCTCCTCTTGTTGAATTCCTACTCATCTTTCAAAGCCCAATTCAAATGTTACTTCTTCTATCCCAAATCCCCTTGGTCATATACATAAAGTTAGCTGTCCCTTCTCTGTCCTTGCTCATTATTGTGTTTGTAATTGTCTCATGTTTTTATATTGTAACATTACGCATTATCATTATCATTTTGTGCCTTATCCTCTCAGTGAAACTGTAACTTTGTATTCGATTCAAGAAGCATTTATTAAGCCCCTCTGTTATACAGAGGCAACTTGGTCTAGAGATGACAGGGCTGACCTTGGAGTGAGGAAGACCTGTGTTGCCACTTTACTAAGCTGTGTGACCCTAGACAAATCATTTAGCCTCTCACTGTCCCAGTACAACCCTCTGAGTTAAGTAAGTAGTAGAGAGGTAGCCGTTCTACTTGGAAGAGGTAGTCTCCACAAGGGGTGTGTTTCCTCCAAATTGATGAAATCATAGGTCTGGAGGGAGAGCAAGGGAGATGTGCAAATCACATCACCCCTCCAATGCTTCTGTACGTTTTAGATATTTAGCCCATATCTGTTAAATTGAAGTTTTTGTTGTTATAGAATTGAATTTCACAAATGGAGAAACTGAGAGTAGAAAACTGAGAAAACTGAGACTAAGCTAGAAAAAGGCAGGACTAGAGGCCAAGTCTCATGACTCCAGTGCTGCGAAAGGCTCAGTGAGACAAGAGCTAGATTTATGATCAAAGGAGTTGGATTCAGATTCTGATTCTGCCACTTCACTACTTATTGGACCCTGCAGCGGTCATTTCATCCTTGGACCTCATTCCTTATCTGTTAAGGAAAAAAAAAAAGAGGATTGGACTAGATGATCCTCTGAGGTCTACTCCACCAAATCTTAGTGTCCCACCTCTTGAAGATCTCCTTTCCTTGTGGAAGTTCCCAGGTCCCATCTCGTTAGGTTTTTTTGCCTGCCGCAAAAAACCGTACCCCTTTCTTCAAACCGCCCCCCACTCCACGTCCCTCCCCTCTCAGTGGCCAAATTAAATCTGTTTTCTCCATTGTAACCTCAGCTCACCGCCATTCATTTTTTTCCCTCTGGTCACAAGATAATTCCTGACGCCAGAAAGTCTGGAGGTCAGATGAACAACAAATTGAGGAACAAGGCGGCACTAATTCCTTACAAGATTCCCTTGAAAATCTTTTGCCTTTAAAAAAAAAGTTTCCTCCTTGCTGTTTGGGGATTTATGACCTCCGACGGGCCTCCGTCCGAACCAAGGTTGAGGGTGGGGGCTGGGCTGGGAGGAAACCAGACTCAGACTCGGGTCCCAGCAGTTTCTCCAGTGGCTTGGGAAGCAACCTAGAAAAGGGGGCATTTTCTATGTAAATTATTGTAATTGAGTTTTTAAAGACCCAGGGGCGCGCCTCCCTCATTCTCGGAATCCGCGACTGCACCGCATTCGGTGTCAGGCCAAGGCGAGCAAACCTGTTTTGCAATTAAACAGCTTGTAAATGCTCCATCCAACTTTTCCACCGCGCCCCCCCCACCCGCCCCGACGGTCCGCAGAGGCTGAGCCGGAGCCTGGGGCGGAGTGTTATTTGCATAAACGGGCGGGGCAAAACGAAGGATTCCCTAATAAGAGCGTATAGCGGGCGGGTACGGGGTGTGGCTTGCTGGGTGGGCGAGGCCCAGGTCCGAGCCCCACTATAAGAGCGAACGGCGGCAGACTGGCGCGCAGCGTGGATTTGGCCTCTGCTAGTGCCTCTTGTTTTTTTTTCCCTCCGATACTTTTTTCCTTTGCGCCCCCGTCACGCAAACATGAAGGCTCTGAGCCCAGCCCGAGGCTGCTACGAAGCCGTGTGCTGCCTGTCGGAGCGCAGCCTCGCCATCGCGCGTGGCCGTGGAAAGAGTCCCGCAGCCGAGGAGCCGCTGAGCCTGCTTTATGATATGAATGACTGCTATTCGCGCCTGCGGGAGCTGGTGCCGGGCGTCCCGCGGGGCACGGAGCTCAGCCAGGTGGAGATCCTGCAGCGTGTCATAGACTACATCCTGGATCTGCAGGTGGTGCTGGCCGAGCCCGCCCCGGGGGCCCCAAACGGGCCCCATCTCGGCATCCAGGTGGGTGCGCATTGGGGACGGCACCGGACGGGAAGGGGTGGCGGCTGATCCGCTTGAGAGAAGCCTGAGGGCTGAGAACCAGAATTGAGGGTGTGTGGAGGAAAGGAGGATGAGGTGGGAAACCCAGAGAGGAATGTGGAACGAACGGGCGGTGTCGGAGACTTGGCTCCCAGACCGGCAGTCTGGGTTTGGCGGGGTTTGGGTGGCCAGTGATGGGGAGACCGAGTAGGGATTTAAGAGTGGTATGTCGGGAGTGCGGGATACTGAGACCCAGAGTGGGAGATGATTTAGGTTGGATTGTGATCAAGGTGCGGTGGGGGTCTGAAACTCAGAATAGGATGTGCCCGCCTGGATGTGCGTGCAGTGTAGATCCAAAGGTGGGTGCGAGGACATGAATTTGGGTTAGTCGTGATGTGAGGGGGAAGAGAAACAACCTCTGGAACCCAGAGCAGAAGCTGGTCAGGAGTTGACTTTCCTGGGGTGAAGTTGGGGAGGAGCAGAAAGACTGACCCCACTCATCGGGCTAGCAGAGGTTAAGCTCAACTCGATTCTCTTCCCTATCCAGACATCCGAACTGACGTCTGAACTCTACTCAAAAGATGAGAGCAGTCTTTGCCACTGACCCCAGGCATCTTTAGGTGAGCATCCCCTCCTTTTTCGTGAAAACTGGCTGCGGGTTTGGGCTGCGCCTCTACTGTCAACTCCCGGGGAACATTGTCATGAGGGTTGAGGTACCCGAAGTGGCCAAATTTCCTATGTTTCCAATTGCCCCAGATCCCAATTCTCACCCCCCAGAGCCAAGTCCCTGGGTCCGGCTTCATCTGTGAGCTTGGGATTTGCAGTCAGCCAATGGAGATGGGGGTGGGGGGAACTCTAGGCACAGATTTCTTATCAGCTGGAGGGAACAAAGTTTCCTCCCTGGCGCCGACCAGTCTGCAGACCTGCCCCTGCCTGTGATCTGGGAGGAAACTGACCCGTCCCTGAATGTTTCCCTCCCCCTTCCCCCTTCCAGTTCTGTATGCAGGTGTTGTGATCCCGCTGGGACCCCAAGGATCAAGCTTTGACCAGAGCCCCAGGAATGGCCAGGTCCATACTGGCTGCAGCATCTGTTTTTACCACTGTCTCCACCTCGCCTGGTTTAAGGCTGAAAGGAACTCTCAGCAGAGCCCCCTCTTCCCGGGATCTAGGAGAAGCTAAACTGTGGGACTTCTGTAGAAGAAAGAGAAGGCAATTTTCACGTCGCTTTTCCCCAAGTTTAAAAGGATTGGTTTGTTAACCAGGTTGTTGTTTTTTTGGGTTTTTTTTTAGGGGATATTTTGTTATTTCTTTTCCCCACCCCACCCCCAACCAATTTTGTTGAGGCAGCTGGAGACCTTAGATTGTGGTGTCCCCGGAGGGGGGAGACCCTTCAGGAAAAAGACCTGCTTGTTCCTGCCCCCTCCTCAAGACCTCACTGTGATTATGAACTCTATAATAGAGTATGTATAGCATATGTACCTTTGTGCAGGAAGGTGACTTTCTGTAATCATGCATTGTACTTTATAAACTTTTTATAAAAGTTAAAACTTTTTTGCATAATAAACGCGGTTTTTTAAAAACTTTGTAGTGTATGCCTATGTTCTCCAACATCTCCTCTGCTATAGCATAACAATGTCTTTAAAAACATCTCTTTGTAAAAGGGTCTGAGTGCCCTCTGTCTCTTTGGCTTAGGAAAGGTAAATGAATGACTCCCAGGGCAGCTCCCTCCCCCCAGGGGGTTGATAGGATTGGACAAAATCTACTCAGCTAAGAAATCTGGCCTTGGCCAGCCCAGGGGTGGAGTGGGATGTTGTTAAGCCAAGGCCTTTTAAACCCCAATTGCCTTTCCCCAAAGTTATCAGAACAAGAAGCACAAAATGATAAGAACTAGCCCAGTTCTGTGAGATAAGCCTGCCCAACCTCTGAATTTTTACTGGTGAAAATGGCCCGGAGAGCAGGGAAGTGATTTGTCTTAGGTCAAATAGACCTGGGATCCAAACCGAGTCTCAAAAACTGTTCCCTGTACTGGGTTTCCTCATTAAGAGTGACTCGTTGGCCTGGTTAGGTCATGGTATTTGTCTTTGGAGAGGGGCAAGGTTATCAGGATGAGGAAAGAAGTCTGAAGCTGCCTCTCTCCCAGATCAGTGTTTCCCATTCTATCACCTTTTCATAGATAGTCATTAGAACTCATTTCATGGGTGACTAAAGATTTTCCTTAGGGACTTGGATGGAGCCAAGCTTAGATTTGGATCAGCTTGTTAAGGAGTTCCTCATTCTGGGTTCTAGGAAGGGTATGCCGCTGTTCTCAGTCTGAAAGCTGATGTGTATTTTCACTTGAAGGTGTGTAATTAATGCATGCTGCTCCCATCATTCCACCTGAGCTAGAGGAGTTAGGAACTTCAATGATATTCATTCACTATATAGAGAGGAGCTATCTATGTGTCAGCTTTGAGGGGCAGGGAAGAATAGAATAGGGGATAAGATTGACCTGAAAATTTACAAGAAACTTCATCATTTTCTTGTCTGTAAGATGAGAGGATGGACGATCCCTCCCAGCTCTAACATTTCTATATTAAGGATGAGAGATTCAGAGATAGAAGGGAATTTAGAGACCCCATCCCACCTCATTTGTAAATGAGGACCTGACACCCAGAGAGAATAAGTGCCCAAAGTTCCTCAGGTAGTAAACAGAGCCAAGTTGGAAACCAAAGTTCTCTGACTCCAAATCTAGCAGCCTTTTCAATGTACCATGCTACATTTCAACATCATTCCGAGGTCTCTCCCAGTTCTGACATTCTGTGTTCTTAGCTTTGATAGTGTTCCAAGGACCCTCCCAGCTCTGGCATTCCATGTTCCAAGCTCCCCCCCGCTTTGATATTCAGTGTTCCAAGGGCCCTCCTAGCTCTGCCATTCCATGTTCTACAGGCTCTGACATTTCATGTTCCAAGGGTCCTCCCAGCTCTGGCATTCTATGTTCTAAGGACCCTCCCAGCTCTGGCATTCCATGTTCCAAGCCCCTCCCAGCTTTGATATTCAGTGTTCCAAGGGTCCTCCTAGCTCTGCCATTCCATGTTCTACAGGCTCTGACATTTCATGTTCCAAGGGCCCTCCCAACTCTGGCATTCTGTGTTCCAAAGGGCCTTCCCAGCTTTGACATTCAATGTCCTAACATCTATTCCCTCTCCAAAGTCCTATTAAATAAAAAGTAATATGGTAAATGCAAATAGGAAGAGAGACCACTGTGGACAGATAGGCCGCTTCCTAAAAGAAGCTTAGAAAGAGAGGCCTCTAGTGGCTCAGGGTATCTGCTCTTCAAACAGTTGGACCAGTATCCTTGTAAAGAAGAAAAGGCAAATCATATTCTCCCCCATTTAACAGGTAAGACAGTGGAAGACCAAAATGGTAAAGTCCGTAAGCCAAAGTCATAGCATAGCAAAACTGGAACTAGAACCCAGGACTCATTGATTAAATACCCTTTGTCAAGCCTTCAATTATTCAATGAACATTTAGAAAGGATAATTTATTATTTACTATATGTGATAAATTTTGTAAAGCACTCTTGAAACCTTAGAGTGCTACATTAATGTCCCCCCTCCTCCCTTTCCTCCTCCTCACTCTCTTTCTCCATCACCATTATCATCCTTACCATCTATTGCCTCCTCCATGCCTTTTCACTGACTGTCCCCCATTCACACCTGGAAAGCTTCCCCTCCTCCCCTCTTAGAATCTCTAGCTTCCTTCAAAGCACAGTTAAGTGCTACTTCCTACAGGAGCCCTTTCCTGATTCTCCCAGCTACTAATGCCTGTCCCAAAATTATCTTGTATTTATTTTGTTTACATTTTGCATATAGTAATAATACAATACCTCATTGGTTGGTTATCGTCCTTCATACTCAGAGGACCAAAATGACATCACTCTGGTGAGGTTAAGGTACAGCGTGTCCGACTGTGGCTGAACAGACCAAGACGAGCTTGGAATGCTCCACCACAGGTCAGGCACAAATAGTCCAGGGGAACATTTGGGGTGGAGATGTCTCGAAATAACAATACCTAACCTTTATATACCACCTGCTATATGCCAGGCACTGTGCTAAGTGCTTTACGAGTTCCACTTCATTTGATCTTCACAACAACCCTGGGAGGTAGGTGTTATTATTATAGAAAAGCTAGCTAATAAATGTATAGTGCCTTTGTAAACCTTAAAGTGACAGATAGATATACTCCTATGTAATTTTTATATGTGTGTGTATGTATACATATGTATATTCATATATATTAGACAGCATATATGGGGTTGATATGTATTTGTGTATGTATATATACATATATAGTATTGCGTGTGTATACATACACACGCAATACTATCTATCTATCTATCTATCTATCTATCTATCTATCTATCTATCTATCTATCTATAGCTATTATTGGTCAGGAAGACCTGAGTTCAAATTCAGCCTCAAACAACAGTAGCTGTGTGACTCTGAACAAGTGATTTAACCAACATTTGCCCTAGTTTTCATGTGTATGTATACATGTATGTATGTAGTGTATATGTATGCATATATGCATATGGGTATGTATATGTGTATGCACACACACACATATATATTGTGTGATATATAATATTATTACCTTAAAGTGATATCTATAACGTACACATACATATGTGTGAATCTCACTCGGTTTGCAAAGTGCTATATATATGTGTGTATGTATGTATGTGCATGCATGTATACATGTGTATGTGTGTATATGTAGTATATATGTGTATATATACACATCTACATCTATCTGTCTGTATCTGTATCTATATATCTATAAATTCAATTGAGCCTCACCCACACACCATGAAGTAGGTGTGTTTACAATTCCCGTTTTATAGATGTACTGGAGTTGAGGAATGTTAAGTGACTCACCAGGGTTACATGGCCTAGAAGTGTATGTGGCAGGATTTGAACTCAGGTTTTTGTAGCTCCCAGGCCAGCACCCTCCCCATCCAGCTGCCATCCCACCATCCTCACTCTTCTTTCTCTTGAGACATGAGAGGGCTCACTCATCAGCCACAAATGTTGCATCCAGCTGATGGGTTCCAGGAGCGAGGAGAGGACCTTCCCTCCCTCCCCTCTCCACCTAAGGCTCCTGAAGGATCTCCCTAGTTAGCTCTCTCTGACTCCCAACACTCCCCTCAGCCCTTTCACATCAGCTCCCCCACAGCTCTCTGCCCATCTTCACTCTTGCCAAATCTCTTCCAGATGCTGGACAGCATTGCCTTCATGGTGAGACTGCAGCCTGCTTTGCCTTCTAAGGTAGACAGGGGAGGGAGCCTGGAGCAACCCGGCCCCCTCAGGCCTTCCCCACAGAGGTCCCTGGAGCTGAGGGGTGAGGGGAAAAGAATAATAATGGTGGCAGCTAGTGTGTCTAGAGGGTTTGAAGTTTTGCAAAGTGTTTTCTATATGTTCCCCTGTTTGATCTCACAACCCTGAGAGGTAGAGTCTAGGAAACTCAGGCACAGAGAAATTTTAAAAATTGCTTGGGGTCACACAGCTGGTAAGTGTATGAGGCAAGTTTTGAACTCCTTTTCCTGATTCCCATGTTGTATTCTCTACCCATTGGACTACCTTGCTTCCCAAGAGAAATTGGCTTGCTCATCAGCTTTTCCCCAATCTTTCCTTTTGGGGGTAATTTGGGTCCTATACTTAAGTGAAGGCTAAGTGAGGAGCCCCTGGACCCCTCGATGGAATGTCTTCATTAGCCAGCTTTGGAGGTGTGACCTGAGGAGGCCCCCATCAATCAATCAGACAATCAATAAGCAGTTATTAAGTGCCTACTATGTTCCTGGCATGGTGCTCAACACTGGAGATTATTTTCTAGACCTCATCCCAGGATCACAAAAGTTGTGATTGTGGGCTTGTTTTCAGAAGGCCAGGAGGGAGGAAAGGGTGTTTATAGAGAGGTGACATGTTGAACGAAGTTAACAGGCCTTAGAGAAGAAGCCAATGGAGACCATGGAATCCAATAACTTCACTTTACAGTGGAAGTGAAATCTTTTGCCCAAGTCATTCAGCTCTGGGATTCAAACCTAGGTCTTTGGATTTCCAAACCAGTGCTCTGTGCCCTGTCCTGGCTGTGTCCTGTATCTCCCTAGCCCCAATCAGGGTCTGTGCCTTTGGAAGCTTGGCTCTTCAGCAGCCCAGGAGAAGAGGGTGGGGGCATTCCAACGCATCATAGGGTTTCCTGTGCTTGCTGCATGTCCGTGTGTGGCAGTGAAGGCTGCGAGCTTTGGGACTTCACCAATCACACCCCCACCACCACCACCACCACCTTGGAGATCTGCCCTTTCTTCCCAAGGAACACAAGGCTAGGTCAGGATCCGGTGAGGTTATAGGGAAAAGGGGAGAGGCCTGAGGCAAACTGGGCAGGTCTGAGGCTATCCATCACACCTCCAGGAGGCCTGGGTGTTTGCTGGGTGATGCCTGCTAGAGGTGTGTGTGTGGGGGGTAGCCCCCTGACTTTTCCTGGCTCAGGGCCTAGGGGTGGAGGGTACTCTCCAGGTGGGGCCTCCAGGGGAGCCTCCAATTTG